GGGAACCAAACCTGGGCACGCAAGCCGTTGCTCCTGCTCCGTTTTCAACCATCTGGGAGCCCATCTGTGCCCGCACCAAAGGTCAATCCGGCGAAAGGTCACTCTTACGTCTAGTCGAAGGAACACCCCTCAGGAACACGCGACCCCCGGACGTCCCCATGCAAACACACCCCGGCGCACGAGCCGCAGCCCTAAACCCAGACCCGGGGGGGGAACGAACCTCTGCGGCCGTTCCTGGCCGCCTTCGCCCGGCCGCCCTCGCGCGCGCAGGGCGGCGGCGCTGCAGCGCAGAGGGGAAAGAAAACGAAAGGGGGGAGGAGGCGGAGGAGGAAACGATCCTTCTGCATTTAGCGAAAGAGGCCGCGCGCGGAGGGTCCACGATCCTCCTCCCCGACATTTCCTCAATCCTCCTCCTCCTCCACCTCCTCCTCCTCCTCCTCCTCCTTGATTATCCCGATCCTCAAAGTCGATCCTCAGGCTCCTCCTCCGATATCCTCATCCACCACCTCCTCGATTCTCCTCGAATCTCGCCCTGGCACTCCTCGATCCTTCTCCTCGATCCTCCTCCTCCGCCCTCTCCTCCTCGATCCTTTTCCTCCTCCTCTTCCTCCTCCTCGACTCTCCCCTAGGCACCCGCTCGATCTCTTTCCTCCTCCCCGAAAAGGGGGCGACGCGTCCTTGTATAAAGCCTCCGCCGCCTGTTCCCGCAACTTTTCCAGTTCCTGCTGCTCGCGCTCTCTCTCGAGGTCCGCCTAGCCCGCGCCGCGGGAGGCCTCCTGCTCCGCGAGCAGGAGTTCCCTCCCTTCCTCCTCCCCTCTTTCTCCCCTTCCTCCTTTTCTCAACTCTCCTTTCCTCTCCTCTTCCTCCTCTTCCTCCTCCTCTCCTCTCCTCTCCTCTCCTCTCCTCTCCTCTCCTCTCCTCTCTCTCTCTCTCTCTTCGCCTCTCCTCTCCGCTCCTCTCCGCTCCGCTCCTCTCCTCTCCTCCTCTCAGCTCCCCCATCCCTCTACTCCTCCTCCTCCTCCTCTTCCTCCTCCTTCTCTTCCTCATCCTCCTCCCCACCTCCTCCCCCTCCCAGATCCTCCTCCTCCTCCCCCTCCACCATCCCTCCTCCTCCTCCTCTTCCTCCTCCTCCTCCTCCTCCTCCTCCTCCTCCTCCTCCCAATACAACGCGAAGTCGTGAGCAACGCCGCGTGCCAGCGGGGCAGGGCAAGCCCCCGCGCCCCGCGGCCCCCAGGAGCTACAGGGGCCGCCGCCCCCCTGGCGGGGCGCAAAAAGGGGAAAAGGAGGACGACGAAAACAAGAAACAAGAAGAGGTGCCAAGCTTACCGCGTACCACCAACCCGCCGAAGGCGAGCGGCCCCCATGCCCCCATGGCTCTGCCAGCGCCAAGAGGCACACAAAAATCCCACGTCGCCGCGCGGGACACACGGCGCGTGTTTCAGCGCATGGGTACGTAACCTGGCCCGCCCCCACAGGCCCCCTTTGCCCAAGGGGGGGCCAGACCGTTGGCCCGCGATGTCACGGGAAGGCAAATACGGTGGCTGGGGCCTGCCCCCATGCAACCAAGCACCACGGGGGCTGACACGGACCGAGATCCACGCCAGCCCAGGGGGGTTACCCTCGCGGCCCCAGAACGCCAGGCCCCCGTGGGACCTGAGACGGCAGACCCGTACCACAGCGGAATATGGGGGGCAACGCCAGGCCCGTCAAGGCACCGACGCCGCTGGCCCGCCGCGCCGCCCCTTGCCCTCCTCCCTCCTCCCTACAACTCCTCCAAGCTCTCCTTCCTCCACCTCCTCCTCCGTGTTCCTCCTTGCTCATCCGCCGTCGTCACCGGCTTCGTCGTTCAGTTGTCGTCGTCGTCGTCGTCGTCGTCGTCGTCGTCGTCGTCGTCGTCGTCGTCGTCGTTGTTGCCGTTGTTGCCGTCGAAATTGTCATTGTCGTCGTTGTCGTCGTCGTCCTCCTCCTCCTCATCTCTGTATCCGTTTCCGTACACATAACTCCTCACTCGCTCTCGCACCACCATGTGCGTCTATAGGGTGGACCGGGCGTTTTGACTGTGATGTCCTCACACCTAACGGTGTTGACGCTTGAACTGTCTATCGGTTTTCCGGATGGATGGAGAAACGTTTTCAAAATGGCGTCTTGGCGCCGCGAAGAAAATGTCCAGGACACCTCAAAAGGCCTCCTCCTTCCCCGCGGCCTCCGTCTCCTGCTCCTCCTCCTCCTCCTCCGTCTGCTCCTTCTCCTCCTCATCCTCCTCCTCCTCCCCCTCATTCTTTGCCTCCCGTAAGTGTTCCCACGAAGGCGTCCACGGCGGCTGGGGGAGTACATAGTCCAACAGCTTAGCAAGGCTTTGGCGTTCTGCTTGGTCTCATTTCCACAAGGCAAAAGGCGGGCGGCGGTGGTTAGTGGTTTTTCCTCTCCCAGATGGAGGAAAACTACCCGAGACGATACCGCCAATGTTCCCAATTGCAAAAGAGGGTGAAAGGCCGTTTCACTTGTCGCAGGGAAAAACGTCGGCACACCGCAATCACAATCGATAAACTCTTAGTGCCTGCTATTGAAATCCGGATTCCGTTGAGATTACGCCGCAAGCCGTTAACATATTGCCCACACTATTCGCATCCCTCTTGAAAGCTGGAATACTATAAACTGCCCATCGGCCTAAACAACACTGCAACCACATATCGACGAATGCCGTGCCTATTGATCTCCATGTTTCCACGCGATTACCGTAGTCGATGGGAAGGTTCGAACGTGGACATCGGGCAGAGAGGTGGAGGAGGGGGAGGGGAGGGGGAGGGACGGCGGAAGGAGGGAGGAAAGAGAGGTCGGAGGGAGAGAGGAAGGGAGGGGATGAGAGAGGGAGAGGGAGTGAGGGAGGGAAGAGGGAGGAGAAGGGAGGAGGGAAGGAGGGATGATGGAGGGATGAGGCAGAGAGGATGAGGTGGGAGGAAGGAACAAGAGGAGGGGGGAAGGAGGGAGGGAAGCAGGACGGAGAGATTGGTGGAGCAGAAAGCGGAGAATGAGGGGGAACGATGAGCTGAAGCAGGATCACCAGGATAACCAACATGATGAGGGTAATGACGAGGACGAAGATGCTGATCACAATCATGAGGACGAAGGCAATAAAGGATGACGAGGAGAAGGAACGGGATGATGATGATGATGATGATGATGATGATGATGGTGGTGATGATGATCATGATGATGATGATGATGATGATGATGATGATGATGATGGTATCAGTAGGAAGATATTGATTTCATGATGCGATTGGCTCAAGCTGCATTCCAAGACTTCTGGAGTATTTAGCAACCCTCTTTTCTGGAGCCCGCCTGGAACAACAAGAACAATGGGAGCATGTCGTTATCACTGCTTCTTGCTCCCCTGATAAAAAAAAAAAACGTAATCTCCCTCTTCCCTCGTTCCACCCCTCTTCCTGCTCGCGATTGACCACGCCACGCAATCTCATTACCTCTGGATGGCGCGATGCTCTGACCTCGGCGGTGGACAAACCTCCCTTTAGTAAACCTCCAGCGGACCTGGACCCGCAAAAATGACGGCCGCGACGCCCTCTCGCGAACCGAAAACTGCCAATTCCTTAATCGACGTGTCAGGGTACGAGGTCTGTCCACCCCCGAATTAAGGCCGACTCTCGAAGCCCCGGGTACGTCAGGCGCGCACCTGCTTGGGGAAGGTCCGTGTTTACACGCCTGTGCTCCCGCCAAGCTTCTGCGGGGCCGCACTGCCGTTGCGTCGTCGAGGCATCCGAGACGCATCGGCGACGTCGGCGACACATCCGCGATGTCGGCGTGGAGAATATCGGGCTCCACATCGAGCCGCATCGCCGATGAATCGGCGATGCGGCGCGATCCTCCGACCCCATCTGTTCCGACCCGAGGCCTAGACCTTGGGGCCCCTCCCTCGAAGCGGACCCGGCACACCTCCACCCTCAGCAGCAGCAAGTCTCGGCGCCTTTGGGCTCCAGGAGCCGCTCTCCCTCCCCCCCGAAGGGGCCACGATCGGGCGTTGGCAGAACTGGGTATAGTGGGACCTGGTTTAGTGATATTTAGCTGGGGGACGCCCCCCCCCCTCCGCCCCGTTCCACTAACCGGACTTGCCGTCACCAAAAAAAACACCAGCTGCGGCAGACCTGGTTTAGTGACACTGGCCAATTTAAGAGCTCCGGGGCCCTACTACTAACCGGGTCCCCTTACCTGGAGTCCTGGCTACAGTCGGACTCGATTGGACAGGACACGCGAGAGGACACAAGAGCCTACCGAGGGCCACGTTGCCACAGGAATGTAGGAAGCATGGGTCGCGAGACACAGGACACGAGGGTAGCCTTGACTTGGCAGGGTCGACCTACTAATCTGGGCCGACTGTGCGCTGCGCGTATCCCCGCCGGCCCCTTCGGAAGCCCTGTCCATGAGAGCTGGCGGGAACAGGGGACGAAGAGACGCACAGAGGCAGACAAAGCGGGCAACCCGGGTGAGCAGAGAGGTCTCTGGAGCAACGGGGTGGCCTTGGAGGGCCTCTTCGGGCCATCCCTGTTTCCCGCGTGGAGGCGAGGGAAGGAGGAGGACGAGGAGGAGGAGGAGGAGGAGGAGGAGAAGGAGAAGGAGGAAGACGACGACGACCACCACGATGACGAGGAGGAGGAGGAAAAGGAATAGAAAGACGGAAAACTGGGACAAGATGGAAAGACGGAAAGCTGGAGCAAGGCTAGGGAAGAAGGAGGACGAGGAGGAGGAGGAGGAGAAGGAGGAGGAGGAAGACGACGACGACCACCACGATGACGAGGAAGAGGAGGAGGAGGAGGAGGAGGAGGAGGAGGAGGACGAGGAGGAGGAAGACGATGACGACCACCACGAGGACGAGGAAGAGGAAGAGGAGGAGGAGGAGGAGGACGAGGAGGACGAGGAGGAGGAGGACGAGGAGGAAGACGACGACGACCACCACGAGGACGAGGGGCAGCGGAGGGCCACTTTTTCGCGCCGCGGACGTCGAGAGGCCGCGGCCTCCGCACGGGCGCTGCGCCCCCCGGGGGGCGCGCGGCGCCTCCGTGCCGCCGCGCCGCGCCCGCCGCAGCCCCACGCCACTGCTGTTGGGTCGGGCCTGTCCCTCTGCAGGGGGGGATTGTTGGCGGAAAACCAAAAAGCACCAGAACAATGCACCCAAAATGCCCAAAGATAATGAAAAAAACATGTCCCCATACTATGTTTTTGACTATTGTGGAATATTCCTCCTGTAGGGGGACAGGCCACTGCTGCTGGGTCGGGCCTGTCCCTCTGCAAGGGGATTTTTGGCGAAAAAAACACTCGGAAAATGCACCCCTGGCCATCGCTCGGACGTCCATTCCCTGTGCTTTTCTCGGTTTCGTGCGTGTTTTTTTCGCCAGATGATCAAAAATGCTCTCGCCGAAAGAAAAATGCACACGTCCGAGTGATGCCACGACCCCTAAAGCCCAAAAATAGTTAAAAAAAAAAAAATGTCCCCATATTAAGTTTTGACTATTTTGGGATATTCCTCCTGTAGGGGGACAGGCCCGACTTAACCCAAGCGATGGTGCGGCGTGCCGGGGAAAACACACTGACTCGCCATCGCTCGGACGTCCATCCCCCGTGCACTGTTCGGCCTCGTGCGTGCTTTTCTGTCTGCTCGATGATCCAGGATGGCCTTCGATGGTCCTCGCCGAGAAAGAAAACAAACGTCCGAGCAGTGCCAAGCAGATGGCGCGGCATAAGCATGAATTTTCGGAGGTCCGCGCGGATTTCTCGGATCAGCGCTAGAGACCCCTGGCGGCGCCTCCGGCGCCGCCCCTCGGCGCGCTCCGCGCGCCAGGGAGGGAGGTCCAGCGTCGATCACAGAAATCCGCGCGGACCTCCGAAGGTGTAGATGTTTATGTCATTGGGTGTTCCCCTTTGTGCTCTGTGTAGAAGGCAGGGATCCCGCATCTGCTGCGCGGCGCGAAAGAGACGACCATGGTGGAGGCCTCGCCCATGCCCTTGTCGCCCCCAGCCCAGGTCGATGGCGTAGACAGGCACCTTTGGGCCTGTGGCGTCGGACGGCAGACAGCTCGGCGTCCCTCGGGCTGGCATCCTTGCTCGTGAATGCCTCGCTTCGAAGGCCCTTGGCGGACGCGCGCGCCTGGGATCTTGGCGCGAAGTTCTCAACGAGGACTCTCCGAGACGTGACCCGTCGCGGTTCAAATTGTGGATAGCCCAACAACCCCGGGGGCTCAGCAGATCACGAGCTCTTGGAGCAGATGCGCCACCGTGACCGACAGGTGAATCGATGTTTGAACAACTATCCAGACGCGACAACACTTGTAGGAACAAACCATCTTCGGCGACTACAATGGGTGCGGTTTGCGAAGGGTGCGGTTTGCCTCCCGTCATATCTGCCCCTCCCGCCCCCGGGAAACGGATGACACTGACACTCAATGCCCCCGAATCACATGACACTGTTGCTCCTTCTAGTACAGTGGAGCACACATCGAGGATGACAGTGTCGCTGGAAACGACGACAAAAATGTGACATTGCCTCTCACAGAGGCCCCGGAAAGGCCGCCACAAAGCAACTCGCAAACCGCACCCCAACATAACCGCACCGATTGTACTCGCCGACATCTGCCAACCGTGACGAGTCAGGGAGCCCATCCCAGACTGCCGGCGGGAGCGGTGACCGACACTGGCTGCGCGCGGCGTGTTCTTCCACGCGGGGCGGCCAGTGAAACTTGCCCGGGAAGACTTAGGACTCGGGTTCGGGGAGCTCGGGTTGGCCTGACCTCGCCATCGCTCGGACGTCCATTCCCTGTTTTTTTGTCGGTTTCGTGCGTGTTTTTTTCGCCAACTGATCAAGGATACTCCTCGATAGTCCTCGCCAACAAAAAAAATGCACACGTCCGAGCGATGCCAAGCAACATGACGAGAACTCCCAATCTGAAATTTGACGCGAACTCCCATCTGGAATCTGACGCGAACTCCCGTAACAAACGTCCCACGAAAGCTGGATCGGCAAAATTCCGGACGCGCTCGTCAAAAAACGCCGGCAAACCCGAATTCTGGCGCACTCGAGTCTTACGTTTACCCGACTTCATAGCATGTACCACTGCTACTGAGCAAGTTCTCCAAGACACGTGCAACGGTAACACACGTTCCACTGCAAAGCCTGGCGAAAGAGGAAGCCCACACCAGAAGTTCCAGCAGGGATACATACCAGAGGGCACGGCACTCGCAGCGGTAGCAGTGCCTCAAGCTCCCTGTAGCTCCCAGCAGTGCTGGCTCGGTGTTGCTCTTTTATCGGCGGTGGACAACCCTCCCTTTAGTAGTAAACCTCCCTTTAGTAAAACGGCCTGGGGCCGAAACCGACGGACCTGGACCCGCAAAAATGACGGCCGCGACGCCCTCCCGCGAACCGAAAACGGCCGATTCACTAATCGACGTGTCAGGGTAGCAGGTCTGTCCACCCCCGATTTTAATCGGGGATGGACAGATCCCCCTTTAGTAAAACGTGGTTTAGTGAAAACGACCTGAGGCCCAAACCTGGCGGGCGCAAGCCTGGAAAACAACGGCCACGGCGCCCTCTCGAGCATCGAACACGGACAATTCACTAATCGACGTCTCAGGGCAGGAGGTCTGTCCACCCCCGATCTTGAAGGGCCTCCCTCGGTGGGCACCGCCTCGGCGCCCTCGTGCTCCGGAAGCCGCGCCGCCCTCTCCGCGGGGGGGAGCGTGCGAGAGGCGGCCTCCTCCGACGGCTCCAGGGCGCGGCTCCCCTGCGAGAGCTCGGCGCCGGGGGGGCTGGTCCTGAGGGGATGCCGGGGATGGACTCTCCGAGGCGTGACCCGTCGCGGTTCAAATTGTGGATAGCCCACCAGCCCCGGGGGCTCAGCAGATCACGAGCTCTTGGAGTAGATGCGCCACCATGACCGACAGGTGAATCGACGTTTGAACAACTATCCAGACGCGACAACACTCGGGGATGGACAGACCCCCCTTTAGGAAAACGTGGTTTAGTGAAGACGACCTGAGGCCCAAACCTAGCGGGCGCAAGCCTGGAAGATAACGGCCACGGCGCCCTCTCGAGAACCGAAAACGGACAATTCACGAATCGACGTGTCACTGTTGGGGGTTCTGCCCACCCCAGAGGATAATTAGCAGGGCCCTCCAAATCCAGACCTCCTCGGGTCATGGCAAAACCATGGCGAATGTTGTGCCTGTCTTTTCGGCCTCTGGAGGCCCTGCCTGGCCTCAAGGCCGTCAAACAACGGCCAGGGACGAACCACCTGTCCCGGGGAGTCCCACCAGTCCTGCGGGCAAGGCTTGGCTGCCGATATCATTCTCTCCTCTTCCATGAGCCTTCTCCCTTTCGGTGAGGGGTATCCTTCCCCCCCCCTCCCCTCCCTGAGTTTTTTTTTTGGGCGGGCCGCGATCGGTCAGAGCGCCGGGGGTGGCTCCAAGAGGGCCTCCGATGCTCCAATAATCCAGAAGCCGCATTAAAGTGATCATTTGTTTTTTGGCCCCCCCTCTGTCACAGAGGGGGTCTAAGATGCCCCCCCTCTGTCACAGAGGGGGTCTAAGATGCCCCCCCCTCTGTCACGGAGGACCTCGTTCTGGGTGCTCTTCTGCCACGGGAGCACCCGATACGATTGGAGACGATAAAATGTGATGGCGGGATGGGGGATTGGAGGGGGAGGGAGAAGAAAACGATGAAGGAGAGGAGGCAACGACAGCACCGATGAAAGCGCCGTTTTCTTTCTCCGCTCGGGCAGCGGTCGCCGAGCGCGACGGCGCGCGCGAGTCGCCGCCGCTCACGATGCATTGGCAAGGCCTTCGCTGCTGCGGAGGGTCGACGTTCGGCCGATGAGGCCTCCCTCCGCTGCTGCGGAGGGGCGGCTCCTGTGCGATGGTTCAGCTAGGTTCTTCCCAGGGATTGGTCTCGGGGGGGTGTTCGACCCGCCTCCCAGTGCCCCTGGCCGCTACTCCACCCACTGTGGCTGCTCCACCAGTCACTGGGGCGTTGGTCGCTGCCGAATGCAACTTGCATGTCGCGCCAGGCGGAGTCGACCCTGCGGTCCTGCAGCGAGGAAGCCTCGCCGCTCGGCTGTTGCCACTCGCGCTCCTCGCCCTTCCTGGTGCGCCACCACTCATCCCTGCGCCACTCCCCGTCTGTTGGTTGCTGCCATGGCGTCTGTGGCCTCCGCTGCTGCGGGGGCTCTGGCGGCTCGTGGCCGAGGGCAGCGATCGCGTCCGAGATGTAGCTGGCGGCGCCGCGCTGCCCTCGCTGCTCCAGCGGCGCAGGCCCTGGAGATGGGCACTGCGGGGTCGGCTGCCACCTTGGGGGTGATAAGTAACTATTTCTATAATTACCCCCTCCCTGTCAACTCCCGCCCCTTCCCGACACTCATTTCCTTTTGTCATCCCTCGTCCTGCTCAGCCTATTCCTCATTCCCTCTCCTCCCTCCTGCCCTCCCCGTGCCCCACCCTTCCTCTCCCTCCCTCCCCCTTCCAACCCCCCGCCGCGACCTTCCATCGCCAGCCGCGGGCCAGTCGCGGCCGTCGTCCGCGTTTTCGCCCGCCCATCTTGGTGGGCGCCACGCCTGTTGGGCGCGCTCGTCTTGCTCGTCCCTCTCGCGGTGCTGCTCTGGTGCCTGGCGCTCGGGCCCGTGCTGCTCGGGCGCCGCTGCTGCGGCGCCCTGGAGCGCAGCTGCTTGCTGTTTCTGGGCGCGCCTGTCCTTCTTCTCTTTGGCTCTCTCCTGCTTCCCCCCCTGCGAACGCACGCTGGCCATGCGCATTTGGAACAGGAGAGGGTAGTGGGCGCCGCCGTGCCAGCGCCCCTCCACCTCCACGGTCTCCGGCGGGAACGTCTTCTGCAACGCGCGGAAGAGGGTCACCTCGCGATTACTAGAGAAGCGGTGGTCCCCTCTAGCCTCAGCCTCGGCGCGCCTCAGTTTCTCACGCTCCTTCTCTTGGATCTTGCGTTGGCATTCCTCTGACTGGGTCAGTAAATCCTGGAGGTGCTCGCGGGCGTCTTTTTTCGGGTAGTAGCGATCGTAAGGCATCCCAGGGCCTCCGTTCTGGCTGTGGTGCCAGTACGTCGGCTCCGATGATGGGCTGGTGGAGGCCCCCGCTGCTGCGGGGGCCTCTGCCTTGCTTCTGTTACGGTGCCCGATCTCACCGATCACCGACTTGCGTGCGAAGAGCAACCCCGTCTCGTCTCTGTCGTGCACGGCGCCCAGCGGCCAGCACAGGGTGTACTCGCCAGGCCTGTTGAGAACGAAGATGCCGCAGCTGTCCAAGCACGGAGTGCCGTCCAATCCGCGCCAGAAGTACGCTGCTGCCGTCTCCAATCGCATGCCTAGACCCCGGAGACTCGGCAGCGTCTGTGTGAGCGCCATGTTGGAATCCCCACAGAGGATGTCAACGTTGTTGTCCTGCAAGATGGTCGCCAGCCTCCGCCACCACGTCTTGTGAGCCTCGTTAAAGCCTTTGGATTTTTTCGCCGTGTCGCGGTGGAGGTGCACCGCGCGCGCCCGCACTTTCGAGCCGAAGTGGGCGTCGGTTTGATCGAAGTAGACCTCAACCACCATGATCCCCGAGAACGCTTCCATCTTGTGCCCATTTGCAGTTTTGTAGTGGCCGTCGACGCTCCATTCCCAGTGGAGCAGCCGCATTGCGCAACGCAGATTTGCGCGCGCAGCGATGCACAAGGACTTGTCCTCACGCCCGCGCAGGGTCAAGTATTCGTACTCTGGTCGATTCTGGAGGTGTTGGCAATCGCCAACACTCGCAGCACGACTTCCTCTTGCTGTCGCCATCGCTGCTGCGGGGGCGACAAAAGGCCCACCGCTGCTGCTGCTTTGGCCCTCCGCTGCTGACGCCCCCGCTGCTGCGGGGGCGTCCGCCTGCAGCGGCGGTGGTTTCCCTGGCCGCTGTAGGATTGCCTCCATCTGCTCCTCACATTCCGCAAAGCACGCCACGAGAGCAGGGTAATGCCGCAGCTGCAACTCAAGTCTCCGCCGCTGGTCCGCGTGGTTGGTCTCGCTCGGCATGGGGCCCCAGTTCCCGAACAGGACGGAAAGGTTGCCCACGTTGTCGTTCCGCTGCCTGTTCACGTCAGCCGCTCTTCTTTCGCAGCAGAACTCGCGCGGGACGGTGTCGCGAAGAACGCAGTTGCGCCGCTCGACGTCGTCGGGCGGCGCGCAGCCCCCAAATTCCTGAGGCTCTTCGTCATCGCTCGGATCCACCACCGAGTCGCCTGGGCGGGTGCGTATTGTAGAAACTTCTGATCGCGCCGCCGCTGCTGAGCTTGAAACGCCAGGCGGCGCAGCCCCCGCTGCTGCGGGGGCGCCCTCTGGCACAAGGGCCCAAGGGCCCTTCCGGGGTTCTGCCTGACCACCCACAGGTCGCCAAACCTTCCCAGATTTCGCTGTAAACACTGCCGACAGTCGGCCCCGAGGCCCCGCTGCTGCGAGGCCCAATGGGCTGCTGCTGCTGCTGCTGGCCGCGGCCATCACTCCCTGCCCCCGCGTTGCAGGGGGGGCGGCCGTCAGAGCCGGGCTCCTGGGGCCGAAACGGCGGTGGAAGGAGGGGGACGGGGCGAAGAGGAGGAAGACGGGGCGGATAGGGAAGGAACGGGCGGGCAGAGAGAGAGGGAGAGAGAGAGGGAGGGACAGGGAGATAGTGACAGAGGGATAGAGAGAGAGAGAGAGAGAGAGTGAGAGAGAGAGAGAGAGAGAGAGAGAGAGAGAGAGAGAGAGAGAGAGAGACGGACGACGACAACGAGAGAGAGAGAGAGAGAGAGGGATAGAGAGAGGAATGATATAATGACCAGGAGAGATCAGGGAGAAGGAGGGGGGAGAGCAGGAGGAGGGGCGGAGTGATCGACACCCGCGTGGTTTTCTCCCCCTGCCTGCTCTCCCCCTCCTCTCACCTCCTCCCTCCTCCCTGTTTCTTCTGCACAGGGCCTGCGCTACGTCCGCGCGCGCACGCGGCGCCTCAGTCGCAGCCAGGTGGAAGAGCAGTGGCTGCTGCCCGAACTCACACCCCGCGCCTCGCCGCTGCTGCGGCGGGCCGCGCCTCTCAGAGGCCCCCAGCTGCAGGGAGCGCAAGCGCCAGGGAGCCAGACAGACGGCGTCGCGTCTCACTGTGCATAAACATGCTGAAAGCTCTCGGGTTGCCTCCCAAGTACTCGTCTATGACGTTCTGCAACCATGTGGCAAACGTCTCCGGCCACTTTCCACCGAAGTCCTCCATGCCAGCGGCGTCCCATTCCCGCCGAAACCACTCAAAATCTGACCGCTGAGCTGCAGAAAGCCCAGAACCCAAAATCGCAAGGCGATTCAGCGCGTCGCACCTCGACGTTCGACCCGCCGCGCCTCCGCAGCTGCGAAGGCCCGCGCCCAGCTCGGATAACCCGACATGCTTCATCCTGTGTTTGATATCTATGGCTGCCTCTGCGTCTAAGAGTTTGGCTTGCTGTGTCCTCAGCAGCTTGCGCGCTTTCTTTACGTCGCCCCCCAGGCGGGTTAGCTCTTCTCTGCGCCGCGCCTCGACATCCCGCTGTCGTTTCTCGTTTCTGAGCGTCGCCTCGCGGGCGTCCTCGTATGCTGCGAGGGCCCGCTGAACCCCGGGATCTTCCTTCGACACTTCACGCACTCGCCTCCGTTCTTTCCGTAATTGCGTCCCCATGAACGTGGCCCCCGCGATGTCGCCCCAGCTGCGCAACTCCTCAGCGATCGACGAATACGTTCTCATCAATTCAGACGTCTGCTCCGCAGTTTCCATACGAGACGTCGACAGGCCAGGC